TTTTCATTGCTGAACAAATTTCTCAAAATGTTTTTTCAAATTCTTTTGGAATCATTACACTGCTCCATAAGCAGTCATTCTGAGCATAATAATACGAACAAATAGCAATTTGAATCCAGGGTTATAGGCATTTTTAGTTCCAGCAGTAATCTGATAAATTTTATTCCTGATTATTTTGATTCTTTTATTTAAACCATTATAAATAGGTATGGCGTTCAGCAAATGTATGCAATATTGCTGGATTAAAAATGCATATCTGATAAAGGTGCATGTGACACAAAGACAATTTGTTTTGGTTGAATTTCTATAAAATATTGATAAACAAATACATCTATAACTGTTATATCAGGTCCTTTTTGTAAACAAGCATTTGAATGTCTATAACAAATCGATTAATGATCAACACTAGCTATACTCAATACTAGTCTGGTATGTTTAATAATGACAGCAGTTCTTGCCAACATGTCACTGCATTCATGAGCTAAACAAAAATGTCAACTCTCTTTTAGAGTGGTTCCATTGGATAACTATGTGTACAACCAGAATACTAGTAGTTCAGAGTGGTTGTGTCAGTGAACGATTGATTCTACTGGATAACTGTGTACAAACAGAGTGGTTGAGAGTGGTTATCCAATGGACACCAAGGCTTGTTTAAACTCAAAACATGATCAAGTTTTTACATTCTTCTCAATTTTCAACATGTGTCAGATCTTCAAATTGTATGACTGGACTTACATTATGTGGACCATTGTGATTACTGTAGGTGTCTATAAATATACCAAGTCCCTTAAAATGATCCTTGTTACCGAACACATTACCTGTATACAAACAAACATTTGGAATGAGATAAACTGTAATACATAGAAAGTAGAATTGATATTTAAGCTAGCTGGGGGTAAAAACAAATTGTTTAATTGCAATTAGAGCATTCTTGTCAGTTACTAAGCATGTAACTATGACAATATATATGTTTTCAGAAAGCTTAGAAAAAATAGTAATCAATAGTGGGTAGAAAAATTTTGCAAGATGACATTTTCAATAGTCGTGGATAGTCAAATATGTAATAAAATGTTTCTTCACATTTGGCTGCCAATAAAGAACTAATTTATTGTAAAAAAAATGTACATCTTTTCAATCATACTTAATAACTAAGGAAACAAATCCAACTGGTCTTGGAAGCTTACTTGATTAGATCTGCCAGGAAGGTTATTTTGTGAAAAAGGGATGGACTATCACAAAGAAAATGACAAATATGAGCAATTTCTGCATGAGTGAGTGATAGCTTGAACAAGATGGCAGATTGCACAGATAATTTATCCAAGACCCTTTGGAAAACTGTTTCAATTAATATGAAAATCACTTGTCACTTGGCCTTGTTATGTATATACGATTAAATGTTCATCAACTGGGTTTTGGAAAATAAACTGAAACATACTAAATGCATTGACTAACAATAAATATAAAAATGCAATATAAAGTTACATAATCAGATTTTATAATTTTATTTTTCTCGTTTTGCCTCTCTTGCTACTTCAATGACTATTCTCAAAATGCAGTTGTGTAGAAATGTTTTGGAGTGCAAAAGTTCCAAGTCCAACAGACTAATATTTTTAACCTTGTAAACTCTGGTGGTACGTAATTAATATTGTAATAAAATGTGCATATTTTTTGTGACCATTTCTGTTTCTTCACTGTAAAAGTCGATGACGACGCAACTAATTTTGTAATTTTATTTTCCTTTGAAGACATAATATCTCCCTCAATCTGTCACATGGAGAACTAAAATTGTCATTTGCATTCTTTTCCGAGGGCCGGGGGTGCTCGGATAAGCGCACACCCATAAAAAATCACGATTCATGAGGACATCAGGCGCTAAAGCAGTGTTCTCCCCAGGAATTTAAACCACTGTGGCGGCATAATTTGCATATCATTTACATAATAATAGAAATTGACCAAAGCACATTTACACCCACACAATAAACATCATAAACAAAGTGGCAGATATTTATTTGCTTCACAGTGTTATAAACACTTTTTTGGGGCACTTTTGTAATATTAATGAGCTCCGTCACAGTGCAAATATTTTTTTTTTTGCAGTCAGAAAATTACGTTTCACAACTTAGAAGA